GGACCCCTCAATTGCAAGATTTGATGAAGATTTGCAAAACCCCCAATTTTGGATCCAATTTCGAATTTTAGGGTTTTTTCGAGTAGAAAAATTCAGATTCGAGAAGTTACAGGCCATATTAGACAAAATGGTTTGGATATTATTGATCCTCGTCTCAAGACGAAGAGAATGACATTGGTCCCGCCGGAATCGGAAAAAGTTCATTTTCCGGCGACTTTGACCGGCGGGCGGCGGCGGCGGGGCGTGGAAGAAAAGAAAAGAAGAAATGGGGTCAAATTGAAAATTTTAAAATATATAAAATTCGAATTTGGCCCTAATGACCGGAAGTTAACCTAGAAACGGGCTAATGGCTCATTAGTGAAAGGATTGTGTAAGTTCAGAGATTTTTGTGAAAGGATTTGAAGTTCAGGTACCACTTCGAAATTCCAGCTAAAGTTCAGGTACCATTTGTAAAATTTACCCGTGGTGGAACACAACGTGGACATTGTTTAACCACGTCCATTTGATCACGAATTTGAAACAATAATCTTTATATAAACGGAGTAGCTAGTATATCTTCTCTTCTCATCCAATGGAAATGGGCAATTAAGTTTTTTGATCGAGAATCCGGACGAGCTGAGTAAGAATGTCTTACTCCATCCGTCTACAAATTATATTTCCGTTCAATAGGTCAAATTTTATTCATTTGTTGGCCTATTTTTGTTGTCTAATTGATAAATTAATATAGTCATGTTACCTCTATATAGTCATGTTGGTCAAATTATATTTTTTAATTTAGAAATCACCTTAAATAGGACTAAAACATAGTGAAAAGTACCAAAGTAGGACTTTCATGTTTTTTCCCGAAATAGGACTTTGCACTTGGTAATGTGACTTTGCACTGTGGTAATGTGGCAGTGTACATGTGCACATTACTATACTTTTTTTGTAATGTATATGACCATGTTTGGTAATGTAAGTCCTGTTTCGGGAATAAAAACATGGAAGTCCTATTTTGGTATATTTTCAATGTTTTAGTCCTACTTTGGTCTTTCTCTCTTCTTAATTCCACATCATTTCTTATATAAAATGATTTGAAAAAATAACTTCAATTAGACATCGTAACACGCAACGAGAAGATAATTGTTGGACGGAGGGAGTAATTTATTACATAGTACAAATATACAACAACGTAACGAACTATATATACGGAGTGTTGAAATATTGGAATAATAATATTGCTCTTCGAATTATGGAGTACATGATAGAGTATATATAGGAGAGACTCCTAACACAACTAGGAATAGAGAATGGAAACTAACTAACATACAACATCTACCACAAATAGGATTAGGAAACTGACTAATAATGAAACACTACCATAACCAATACTACAAGAAGTACTATTAGTATTATTGTCTAACAACCCCCCTCAAGCTGAACTCTGGCTGAAGCAAGAGGAAGCTTGAACACTAGCTGGAAACTGAAAACTTTGAGAAGAGAGAAGTCTGATATGCGCTGGTGGCTGCTCACGTCGTTGGAGAAGAGAGAAGTGTGACGCGCACCGGTGGCTACTGACATCGTTGGAGAAGAGAGAAATCTGACGCGCGCTGGTGGTTGCTGACGTCGTTGGAGAAGAGAGAAGTGTGGCGTGCACTGATAGCTGCTAACGTCGTTGGAGAAGAGAGAAATTGACGTGCGCTAGTAGCTGCTGACGTCGATGAAGATGAGAGAAGGTTGACGTGCGCTTGTAGCTGCTGACGTCGAAGAAGAATAGAGAAAGCTACTGGAGGTGCCTGTTTGACTAAAGATCCTTGACATTTTTTGTCTTTTTCTTGGATCCGGGCAATGCCCTATTTCTTTCTTGAAGGGGTGAGTTGTAGAGGTCGTATTTCCTCTTTCACTACTTCCTCTCTTGGCTTTGCTTTTGTGCTGATTTACTTTGGATTTTTAATGATTCAACAGAAGAGAAAGAGAAGGGAGGTTGATGGGGAAAAAAAAATTGTGTATGAGATTTTGATATGGTGAATTGGAGAGAAACAACAATCATTTTTTTTTCCTTTTTTGAGAAGATAGGATGATCTGAGAGAGTTTTTGAGGAGTTGAGTTTTTTTTGAAGAACCATGGAGATGACAAGAGAGAAGCTACTCTTTTAATAGTTTTTTTGTGTGATTTCAACAAGGGTTTTTTTTCATTTGAGTGGAGAAGTTGATTTGAGGATAAAGAAGGAAAAGAAAATAGATGTGAATAGGGTGGAGCCGCCGTCGCCGGAATTACCGGCGGCGGCGACGGAAGCAAAGATCTTTTTTTAGGTCACCAAGAGCGGTGGCTCCGATACCATGTTGAAATATTGGAATAATAATATTGCTCTTTGAATTATGAAGTACATGATAGAGTATATATAGGAGAGACTCTTAACACAACTAGGAATAGAGAATGGAAACTAACTAACATACAACATCTACCACAAATAGGATTAAGAAACTGACTAATAATGAAACACTACCATAACCAATATTACAAGAAGTACTATTAGTATTATTGTCTAACATCCCCCCTCAAGCTGAACTCTGGCTGAAGCAAGAGGAAGCTTGAACACTAGCTGGAAACTGGAAACTTTGAGAAGAGAGAAGTCTGATATGCGCTGGTGGCTGCTCACGTCGTTGGAGAAGAGAGAAGTGTGACGCGCACCGGTGGCTACTGACATCGTTGGAGAAGAGAGAAATCTGACGCGCGCCGGTGGCTGCTGATGTCGTTGGAGAAGAGAGAAGTCTGACGTGCACTGGTAGCTGCTAACGTTGTTGGAGAAGAGAAAAATTGACGTGCGCTAGTAGCTGCTGACGTCGATGAAGAAGAGAGAAGGCTACTGGAGGTTCCTGTTTGACTGAAGATCCTTGACATTTTTTGTCTTTTTCTTGGATTCGGGCAATGCCCTATTTCCTTCTTGAAGGGGTGAGTTGTAGAGGTCTTATTTCCTCTTTCAGTACTTCCCTTCTTGGCTTTGCTTTTGTGCTGATTTACTTTGGATTTTTATTGGTTCAACAGAAGAGAAAGAGAAGGGAGGTTGAGGATTAGAATGAGTGATTTTAGAGAGAAAAAGTAGGTTAAGAATTGGTGATGGAAAAAAAAAATTGGGTTTGCGATTTTGATATGGTGAATTGGAGAGAAACAACAATCACTTTTTTTCCTTTTTTTGAGAAGATAGGATGATCTGAGAGAGTTTGTTAAGAGTTGGGTTTTTTTTTGAAGAATCATGGAGATGACAAGAGAGAAGTTCCTCCTTTCATAGTTTTTTTGTGTGTGATTTCAACAAGAGTTTTTATTTCTTTTTTTCATTTGAATGGAGAAGTTGATTTGAGGATAAAGAAGGAAAAAAAATAGAGGTGAATAGGGTGGAGCCATCGTCGCTGGAATAATCGACGATGGCGGTGTGAGCAAAGATCTTTTTTTTAGGTCACCAAGAGCGGTGGCTCTGATACCATGTTGAAATATTGGAATAATAATATTGCTCTTCGAATTATGGAGTACATGATAGAGTATATATAGGAGAGACTCCTAACACAACTAGAAATAGAGAATGGAAACTAACTAACATACAACATCTACCACAAATAGGATTAGGAAACTGACTAATAATGAAACACTAGCATAACCAATACTACAAGAAGTACTATTAGTATTATTGTCTAACATAGTATGCATGTATTATTATTGGAAGAACTCCATTAACAACCGTACAAAATAAATAAATAAATAAATCAATCAATTAAATAAAGCAAATGAGCGTGATTGGAAGTATTAAACATATATATACTTCATCCCGGTCGGCCCCTAGTGTGAAATATTATTATTATTAATTATTGGCGATACCGATGCATATAATAACAATATTATTATTATTATGCTGCTGGCTTTCTAGCTGTTTAGAGCATAAATCAGATTCCGTTGCAGCTCTTGAAAATCAACTCTTGCATGAGAACTAACCTGCAAGAATATATATATCACACACCACTAAATATGTTGCCTCACATTAATTAATCCAACATGTCTCATCGATAACTATACTACGGAGTAATTATGAACATTTATAATTCACAACATTAAATTTTTAAGAAAATATTTTATTCAATTCCCGGAGTTATTAAATTAGCTGGACTTCGAAAATGATCATCGTAATAATTATACTCTCCAAAAAAGACCCCTTGTTTTGTTTTAGTTTGAAATGAAATTTAAAAAAAATATAATTATATGATTGAAAGTAACGCCGCAAAGAGAAAGATAATAACCTAGTAAAAGAAATTTTAAAATTATACTTCCCCGGTTCCATAAAAATGTTTCTGTTTTGATTTTTAAAAAATTTAAAGGAGGGACCTGAGCTCTTATGGTGTGGAGTAGTGTATCATCAACTCTGGAGCAAACACAGCTGAGGAGTTGAAGGCCTTGTTGATCCCCAAGCAGATGAAGAGCCCTTGAAACCCTAAACCCTTGTTTGGGAATCCCACAACTGATCAGTATCTCAACCCCCTCCAAACACGGCCGGACTGTGACCGCGGCGGACGCCACGTGACCGCCTCCGTCATCGCCGTTTTTACTCCAACTCCTTAACTTGTCCCTCTTCTCTTCCAGCTCGCGTATGCTCTTCTGCTTGTGTTCAATGTACTTCGCTGCCTCCATCACGTGATCTGACACTGAACGCTTTCCCTAATGCGCGCATGCATTACAATAACAGACATGTTCAGGAATCAGTTCAACCAAAAGCTTAGATATGTTATTGCCGAAAAAATAAAGTTAACCTTGATGTATTCAAGAGGGAGTTGAAAGCGGAGGGAGGCATAGAGGCTAGCCATTTCTTGCCGCCTTTGTCTTTCAATGTCTCTATGCATCATCCTCTTATGCTTCTCATCGCTCGTGCTGCTCTCCCCTTGCACCGCCGAGGATTTGTAGTGCCGCCGCATGTTCTTTCCCTTGTTCTTGCCGCTGCTGGTGGTGTTGTCCGGCATCAGAACATGTTGTTGTTGTTGTTGTTGTCGTCGAAAGAATAACGTTGGGTCAGTTTGTTGGATGGCGACAACAGGAGCGTCGTCTTCGTCGTCGAACTTGTGGTGGTTGGTTATTGTACATCCTCCTCCTTGTGGTGGTGCACC